TTTCATAACACTACGACAGAGTTGTTGTTCCACATTCAGGATGCTTGAGGCTAAAAATATCCTAGAATGAACAAATCAGAATTAGATTCAGTGGTTCAAACTGAAGCATTCTGGTATAAAACAAAAAAGTACAGCTTCCTCCTGAAAGGCAATAATAACAAAGACCAGTGTTTTGAGTTAATAGTGGAATGAATGAAACTGCCAGTAAGCCAAACTCCAAAGTTGTTCAAAACTCTGGAATCAACATTTGGTTTAGAACCAATTTTCAACAACATAAAACCAATTTAAATCTAATATATTGCAAATATGATTGAACATTTATTTTAAACAGTTAATATGATAACAGAGAAGGCACCGATCCAACACTAGGTATCAGGTATCAGCAGAAAATGTAACAAATCTAGTCTGAAATGTCACACCTTCACACTGTGGTGTGATGTTGTTAGCTGTTCAGTTCTTCCTGTGGGGTACAGAGGTGCTTTTGTGTAGACTGAGCACAAAAGACTACTTTTGAATGTTTAATGAATGTTGTTTTTAATTTAAATAAAACGCTACAATTAAAATTCTCATTTTAAAGCTTTAAAGCTTAAAGCAGATTTAAAGAAAAAAAGATTTGCTCAGTATCTTCATTGGAAAGGAAAAAGCGGTCTAGTGCCACCCCTATAAAATACTGTGAATAAATAAAATAGTTATCATTTTAGAGGAGTTCAGACTGATGAGTTGTACATCACTCTATAATATTTGAGAAATCTGTGTAACAAAGTGTGTAAGTGATAAAAGTAGTGCGGTAATTAGGGATGAACAATTAATCATTTTTATATCAAAATTGCAAGTTGAAAGAGTGCAATTTTCAAATCACAATAGCTACAATTTTAATTATATCTTACATCTTTCAATGTTGTCTTAGCAAGTTTTAAGTGGGGAAATGTAAATTTGTGAACTGGCAGTCTGGCTCACTTATTCACAGTTCGAGCCTCAAGTTGGAAAAAATGGATTTGCTTGTCTTCTCGGAAAAATAGTTCACATCTAAACACATTTAAACACATTTAAAATCACAACAAAATACTGGCCAGCAAAATCTAACACACATAAAACATTTTCTCCAAATTATTCAGCCCTAATAGTAATGATTACAGATTGCCATGAAGTAATAGTCTGATCCTGTGGATGCTAACTGAACATTAAATATTGTAAATGGATAATTAAAATATATTATTTATGATTTAATAACTTATTTTTGCTAAATTAAATATAGAATAAAATATGTAAAATGATCTTCTGGTGTCCAGTTTATACAATCTGATTCTTCATTGTACCAGTTCTTATTGCACTCAAAATAGAAGATGACTGTGTTTACTGACAGAAAAGCAATAATCAGCAGGTGGAGGCCGGTTAGGCTGGGTGGGGCCCTGCTTTGGGGTATTTCCTGACATCACTCTCTCTCACACACTCACACACACCTGCAAACACACCTACAAACATGCGTACACAGCAGAAAATGTACATGCCCCTCCACCTACTACTGTTCAAAACCATCTAAATAACTCTCCACCTCTATTTCTCTGTTTGTCTTTTACTCTCTCGTCTCCCTGTGAAACACCCGCATGTGTAACGTGTGAGGTCTCCACACCTCCATGTAGGTAAAGAGGTGAATTAAAAGCCCTGCCCTGGCTTACAAGGCTTACTTGTTCTATTTGTGTGGTCTATCTGACTGTGATTCAGCTCAGCACTGAAGAATGAAGTTCCTCCTAGACTGGCTGCCTAAAAATAAGGCTCAGGTGACCATTAGCTAATGGCCCAGACGTGCAGTTTATAGCGGCCACTCACACAGCGCAAGCTCAAGGTCACCATCCTGAATTAATTCCACATTTGGGGACAGTGCGGACAGCAGAAACAGGAGACCCATGTCTTGTGATATATGACTGACCGGAGGCAAAGCCAAGTTCTTGTTATGGAAAAACAGCTCCTTCTCCAACATTCAGCTAAAACTATAAACTAACTTTGCTAAAGTGATGTATTTCAGATACAGGCTCTGTGACTAACCTAAATATTCACAGACACACTTTATGTTACTAAACCAGGGCTCATCAACTGGTGGAGAGCAGTGCACATGCAGACCCAGCAAAGTATTACAGTGGACCAAAAAAAACTGCATGTAGCAAAGCTCAATAACATATGTAAAAACAAAATGCTTGTATGCCAGCAACATACATGAACATGAACCAGCATGGCTTCTGTCGCAGTCCTGTGTTACAGTTTATCCAATCACATAGATAAACAACTTTAGCCGAAGGCAGCTCATTGGAACAGAGACTAGACAGTCTGACTCACTGCATTAAAAAAAAAAATGAATGTGTTTGTCTTCTTGGAAAAACAGTCACATTTAAATCACCACCACAATATTGGGCAGAAAAAAAGGCAAACAGACATTTTCTCCTAATAGTCATGATCACAATATCAAGAAGAAATGATCTGATCCAGATGACTACAGGGCTAGACATTAGGTCAGAGTCGATAATTTTACATACTTTCATTGATGTTTACTTTTACCTGAAATAAAGCATAGCAAGTGAACTGATAACAAGGCTTGTTAAAAAAAAAAACAAAAAAAAGAGAATGAAATACGAATGAAATACGAATCAACAGAGAACTGTGTGTTTTTCTCTCTGTTTCAAGTTTCAAAACTGTTGAGTCTCATCTGTTCAGAGATTGTGGCGCTGGTCAAACGTGGAAACATTAAGTATCAGCACCACAGCAGAACAAATCACAGAGATTTAACCTGCTGACATCCAGTTCTAAGGATGAATAAAATAAAGCTCAAACGTCCACCAGAGTGCTCACCCATTCCCTGAAATCATGACCTATTCTTAATGAGTGAGAAGCGGCAATATAATTTAAAAAACTCATCAGATTATAAAATGACATTCAAAAAACTTTTCAATGTATTTGACGCGTCTTTTTATTTTATTAGATGCTCTGGGTAATTATTAAGGGTTAAGCATTTAAAGGTAACAGGTGACGCCATTAATTTCTGTTCTTTTGTTTGTTTGTTATCTGGACATTTTTTAAGCAAGAAATTTGAGTAAGTGGACCTTCCCAAGTTTTAGTTGAACACCACTGCACTAAACTATTTAACCACAAGGATTCTCAGATAAGGTAATGCTGAAAGAGAAAATGCAGCAAGTATCATTCAAATTCCACTATCATATCTTAACATGTCAGCATGCTAATCATCTATTCTGCTAACAAAATAGCTAGCTATGCTGCAATCCATATATCTAAATATGTATATGTCAGTTCATAATCAATGACCTATTCATTTTCAACAGACATGGCTTTAAAATGTAAAATGAAAAATGAACAACAACAATGGAAAACGATTTATATATTAAATAGCATTTGCTATTTTGGATGCATCATAGCGTAGTGTTGTTTGAACAGGGGTCTCCCTTGAATAAGAGGTAAGTTCACCCTAAACAGGATTTCCTCTGTAAAAATAAAGGAAATTAACAAGAACTGGGGAAAAGGCATCTGACAGAGCAATGTTGACGATGCACTGTGGATTTCAGAGGCAGCCTAAACAGACAGTATCAGCAAATATATGGGGTTAAGCCAGTGTGAATTCTATAGTGGACTGGAAGGAAAACACTGACCATGAGAAAATGCTACTGGAAATACGTGCTGGTAGTCCAGATCTTCAGCAAAGCCTTAAAAAGTTCACAAAGTATAGCTGCCATAAAACTTGCCTTGAACACAACACAGAATTGAATCTTTAACCTCTGCAGTGACAACATGCACTATTGCTTATAAAAATACCTCAAGGTCTTGAACTGTGCACCTTCTCCATGCACTGTAACTCAAGCCCTGAATGCAATCTGAAGCCTGAAATTAACAGCACACAGCACAGCTCGGGTGAAGCAGAACTTTGAAGACATTTGCCTACCTTTTTACATTTCCTTTATACTACGCTTATTTCGGAACAAGCAAAAGCACATCTGCTCAGATTAATTCTGTTCAGTTTTGTCGTACACTTCCAGTGAGATTCTAACCCATTCAGAGGAGCTCCTAGAACTAGCAACCCATTATTTACACCAAAGACCAAAAACAACATGTGACCTACACACAATTGGTGAATGACGCAAACAAGTATTAATTACATATGAAGAGAATGGAGCACAATCCTCTACAACACCTATTTAATTCAGTCCAAACAGCCTATTCCTACTAGCCATCTATTAGATGACCAGCCACTTCCTACTAACTATCTATTCAATGCCCAGTCATTTACTGCTAATCACATATAAGATGACCAGACATCTACTACTTCTTGTGTATTAGCAGATCAGACATCTACGACTATTCATCTATTAGTCAATTGTTACCGATTATATATTTGAACCATGAGTCCAGTTTCCGGTCCAGTATCTTGTAACTAAAGGTAGGTGAGACACTAGATGCCAAGTCAGCACTGTCAACAGTTCAACTAACTACAAGTGATTACAAAATTTAGGACCAGAAACTTGATTTAAAGTCCATCCTAGAAGACCTCTGATCTTTCAGATGTATCTACCACTAATCACGTACTAGATGACCAGTCATGTATTATTGTGCAAGATCATGATTACAGAACGACAGTCAACTTTATTGTTAGCACTTTGATTTATTTATGAATGTGGACAAATAGATGAAGACAGTGCTATAGAGAGCATAGTCCAACAGAAGATCCATTACTGCCAGTCTAAACTGATCCCTTACCCACTCTACCAAGCAGTGTGTGTTAGTACTGCACTATAAACACACACACACATGGAAAACTACAGTTTTCCTATAGTTTCATACATGCACAAGATTCAAAAAAGTAGAAAGTAGTACATTAAGCAATGTTAACAGCATTCAAGAAACAGTCACCACAGAGCAGAGAAGAGGCCACTATATGAAAACAAACTTGAGCAAACACAATCAAAGGAAATACAGGATATAGTTAAAAAAGGTTGACTCACCTTCTTCTGGTACCACACCACAGCATCGCGCACTTTGGAAGCCATTTACATGTCAGGAGTCACCGCATGGGTCATTTTAGGCTACAAACAGAGAGAAAGGGAGAGAGGAGATCGTCCGTCAGTGTGCTGTAGAGTGAGACTCTCAGTGAGCTTATAAACCAGGCTTCTACCTGCTGGGAGGGTGTGTCTAACACACCACGTCACACACAAGCCCTCATTAACAGTGTAGTCTAACTCATCCTCGAAATCTAGTGCTGGGTTGGACATATTGTCTGTATCGGTACACGCATATTTGCACCGCCCAATATTACTGTTTTATTTATTATTTTAACATTTTAGCAGCATTCATATGTAACAACATGCATGACGTCTGCTGGATGCTTCAGATTTTTCTAAAAGAGCAACTTAAAATTTATAAAAAGTAAACAGTAAGTTTCCTTTCTGTGAATCTGGTCTGATTAACATTTACAATTTAAAATGCAGTAAAAGGTTACTTTTGATGTACAAACAGAATAATCTAATCAAAATGTGAGGTTTGTAAGAGATTCTTTGGTATAGAGTTCCAGCATTCAGGAAGCATGGATTCATTAATTTTATCTATGCAAATCCAAAGTCATCCGACCTTTTTTCCCCTTGGCAGTTCATGTTCCTGGTCATATTAAGCATAATTCATCATATCATATATAATTTAAAAGTTGGTCTTTCTGTAATCTTCCATCTACATGTAACAACTTTTGATGCAAAGCACATGCTATAATTTGAGGTGTCATTGGTGACTGATCGTTTTTCTGAGGGATGTGTGAGAAAAGTCTGTTAAATGGTGTGAACACAAACCACCAGCTCTTACAGGAAACACACACCAATGAATGTAAACACCCGCATTTCGATGTTCTTTATTTCTTGACTACTGCAGACAAAGAAAAGCACCCATGCAGGTCCTGCCATTCAAACACATCAAAGTACACAGTGACCCACACACGAGTCACATCTGCAAGCAGCAAGCCTGCAACCCAAACCACAAGCGCACAAGAACGTGTTCATGTGAATGTGCATGTGAATTTTATACAAAAGCATCATTAACATCATAAATTCTATCAGATTTACTGATACCAACACTGAGAACTTTAGTAGCTTTATATTAGGGTTGCACAATTTGGATATCCTGATGAAGATATAAGAAGCTATTACCACCATGGAAAAAAGTTTGCCCATCATTTTAAGCCACAGTAAGTAAAGCATTAGCAAAAATAAGTGATATAATAATAATTACATAGATTAACGTTATAGTTCTTTGCGCTGCAGCCACATTTAACCATTATTTAACATTAACAAGCTAGTTCACTAGATGAGCTCGGGGTAAACAGGTTTACTGAATAAACGGATGGCATTTTTCATGTGAAAACTGTTTACAAAATGAGTTGTATTTTAAGCTAATGAGGCCAGGTGTATGCAGTTAGCTAGCTAATGTATGTAACAGCGTGAGTGGATGGACTGCTTAATGTTCCATAGCTTTTTGAAGCAGCTACTAAATTCTTCTAATTAACAGAAAATGACTCAGCTTAGAATATTCCAGTGACTAATGTTAGTAATGCAACATGATGAGCTTAAGTGATGGGAACGTTAGCTAATTCTGACAAACCACTTACAGTATGAATCGTACATCCTTAGGGAGAAATTGGTTTGTCAGAATACCAGCATGGAGGGAAAGCTACTGTTTACTCACTGCTCTGCTGCATCACAAGCGACACCAGCAGGTTTGTATGCGAGTACAATCTCCTTCATTTTAAGAAAATGCTCCAAAATGTTACCTTTTCACCTTTAAGCCATAACTGTTCTTTATCTGTTCACATAAGTGCTGCCCTCTTCAGGTTGACTTGCTTACTCTAAGTAATATGCTCTAAGCAGCACATCACTGTGAAAATGCAATCGAAAAACTTGACAACAGAAATGTGTAGACAAATTTTTATTGTTTACATTATCAATAACGTTGAATAGGCCTAACTGTTTCAGCCCTACTCACAACTTACTGGGCAAGTTTTATGATATACATTTGGTGACGATAACTGTGATAACATACAACAAGCTTTCTGAACCATGCTCAAGTTCAACCGCATGCTAGTTTTTACAAAGTTAAGGTTTACACATTAATACATCAAACCAGGCTGCACCATGCCAAATATTTTTTGGGTTGTGTTTAGTAGCTAATAAATATTTACACTAACCCTTAAGAAGGTGCAAGTGTTGATGTATTTAATGATGGACTGGATGAGCTACTGAATTAAGCAGAATAACAGCTTGAAACTAACTAGTGTTAATTAAGGGCTTAGTAAGAAGTTCACACACAAATGTGATCAAAAACATATGCATAATAGGTACAACGCAGACCATAAGAGGATGGATGTTTTGGTGACTAACAAAGATGATGGACTGATAAACATGTTATTGTGTTGTGTATTTGTTGTTGTTCTAAAAAGGTATGTTTACGTATCTGTTATTACTTTGCTCATGCTTTTGTCTCCTCTGTCTGTGTCTCTGCACACTCAAGTGCTAGTGGTGATATCAGTTCCTCAGTAAAATGTTGAGAAACTACGACTAATTTAGCTGTGCAGGACACATCTAACACACAGATAAAAATAAAAACCGTCTCAATACCACATGACATCTTTAGCACATTATATAGAAGAATCACACCTGAAGAAAAAAAAAATACTTTTGGCACCATCTCTCATGTGCCGCTCATGAGGCCAGTCATTTACTGAAAGCCACCTGTGGCTATAGCACCTACAAAATTTATACAGAGAACAGACACACATCTAACAGTGTGACTATCATTCACACAGGGGTGGGCGATATGGCAAAAATACAATATCATGTCACTTGAAGACACTAAAGATCCTTCGAATGTATTACAATATTTAGATATGCTGCAGTTTCACCTGAGATCTCTTAGACTTGCTGAGCTGCTCATCATTGCATGAACAGTTTTTAAAATTGTATTTTTAATGATTATTTTGCTGCAAGTAGTGCACATATATATCTTTATTATATTAAAACATATCTAAAAAATATTTTTAATGCAATATTGTGATATCATAAACTGTGGTAAAAGGTTTGGTAATCATAGCAATAATCGTTTTTAATACTAGCACAGCCCTCACCTCAGAGTAAGACAATGGATGTAGGTCCAGGACCTCCCTTTTCTCAGAACTGTACTTATTAGGACTTAAACAGTCAAACCTGGTCTGAGAGCAGCATTGTGAGAGGTCTGACCCAGTTTGGCACGGTGCTGCCATTCTGTTTGAGTGACAGACATATTGCCTAACACTGCAGGAGCTCCACAGCTCTACATACTCTATATACTACACACACACACACACACACACACACACACACACACACACAGGAAGGAACGCTTAAACAAGCACAGGACACTATTTTTAGGGACAGGAAACATGTGCTTTTTCCTTTTTTCCTTTCTGAGGATGATTCTAGAGAGAAAGAGAGCCCAAATCACACACAGACACACACACACACACACACACACACACACACACACCACCTGGCCATGACATGAAAGAAACAGGCCTTTCGTCCACCTGTGCTGCTTCCTGTCATGCTGAGAGCTAAAGAGAGACAACAAAGATAAAAGCCTCCAAATCTATGTGAGAGTGGAAAAGAAAGGAAGGAAGGAAGAAAAGGGAGAGAGAGAAGAGAGAGAAGAGAGAGAAAAGAGAGAAAGAAAGAAAAAAGAGAGAGAAAAAGGAAAGAGAAAAAATAGGAGCGAGCAAGAGAGAATCAAGTGAGACGAGTGAGAAACAGTCAGAAAGAGAGACAAAATACAACAGAGAGAAGAGACAGAAAGAGAGCAAGAGAAAAAGAGAAAGAAAAAAGACAGCATGAAAGAGAGTAAATTGAAGGAGAGAATGAATGAGCAAGAGAGTGACAGTCAGAGAGAGAAAGGAGACAGAGAGAAAGGAGGGAGAGAGAGAGAAAGGAGAGAGGGAGAGAGAGAAAGGAGAGAGAGAGAGAAAGGAGAGAGAGAGAGAGAGAGAGAGAGAGAGGAGAGAGAGAGAGAGAGAGAAAGAGAGAGGGGGAAATAACAGACTGCTAAGAGTGTCAGTGTGATGTATTGTTGTTGTGCATCTATGGGCAGGAAGTACACTGGGATTAAATGTATGTGTTTATTTCTGCTGGAGTTTTTAGCACTTCGTCCTCACTGCAGTTAAACTCTCTTTAATCTCACTCTCAGAGACCGTCTTTACTCACTTTACACTACACCCAAGCTTTACTGCATTTCTCCTTGTCTTCAACAGGTACAAAAAAGAACATGAATGCATTAGATAACATCTGTAAAGTAATATTTGACCTGCAGCCTGTTTAGTCAGATTCTGAATCAGATTATGACAGCAAGAATGACAGCAAGAAACAAACAAAATACAATTAAGCCAATATCACATGCTGTGAAATGCTTTACAGACCGTCTGAGACAAAATGACATTAAGATTAAGCTGCCAAATATTCAAAAGGCAGAGCTGAACCTGATATTGTGACACTTTTATAGCGCTATCTGTACAGCAAAATCTACTACTTTTATGGCAGAAGGAATTACCAACATTAAAGCACTTATGATGCAATATTCAGGGTGTCTTTCCTTTACTTTTCTCTTTATTTTTCAGAAATGTTGTATAAAAGAAAAATAAAACAAGGTTGATAATGCACCCTCATGTTCTAACTGCTTAAATGAACATTAAACAAATGCAGACACAAACCTGCTATGCATGCAACAGCATGGACACGATGACAAAATCAGCACTGGTGCACGTCTGTCTGCAAAAGACACTGTTGTTTCTCTTTACACAAGACAATCACACTGCGCTCTGAGGTTCAGAATCTGTAAAATCTCCAATATTTGCTTAATATTTTAACATTTTGCACAAATAAGAAAAATTGCTCACCAACGTTTCCAATTTAGCTTCTAAAGACACCACACACAGTACTTGCTGTCTCTCACAGTTTTAAAGTACACACACATCTGACCACAAAAGTACACAAGGGTACATACAGCATAGCATTTTCCCAGC